GAGCCGAGATCGCGCCATTGCACTCCAGCCTGGGTAACATGAGTGAAACTCCGTCTCAAAAAAAAAACAAAACAACAACAACAACAAAAAAACCAGATCGAGAAAAGGTGATTCCATTCCCAAAAAGGGAGAGGGGGAAGATCATTATATAGGTGAGTGTTCATTTAAGTCAGAGTATGAGATTTATCCCTGAAAATCACAGTGGAGGGATCAAGCGGGACACTGGAGCGGGCCAGGTGGGTGGGAGCTGCCAGCCTGGGCGGGGCCTGGGCACTGGAGCTGGCTGCAGGAACCTGCCTTCCAGAGTCCCAGGCTGAGGAGACAGTGAGTGAACGTCCCGCCCCGGCCCCACTGCAGGACCCCCTGCAAGCCCCCAGCCCCTTCCCTGGGCCCCCGGCCAGGCGGGAGCTCTAGCGCTAGCGCCTACCCAGAGCTGCTTCTCGAGACCTTGGTCCTCCCCGCACCCCTCGACCCGCTGCCTGCCCCTTGCCGGCCCCCTCTCACATGCCTGTGACTCAGCACGCTCTTCCTTTCAACTACCGTTCCCTCTCCCGACAGTGGCTGCCCTCCGCGAGGACACTGAGATCCAGAAGGACGTGCAGGTGAGAGCTGTAGGGCCTGGGTTGGCCCAAGTGGAGCCTAGGCTGATGGAAGTCCGGCCTGGCCCGCGCCCTGTCCCCCGGGACCCCTGGAGTCGGGGCAGGGCAGGGTCTAGGCTTCGACCTTTGCGGGGAGCTGAGGTCCACCAAGTGGAGGTGGAGGTGGTGACAGAGCCCTCGCGCTGCAGTCACAGCTCTTCTCCCTCCCTGCACCTCACTCCACTGTCGTCACTGGGTCAGACCTACTACGGGCAGGTGCTGAAGAAATCGGCAGACCTCCAGACCAATGCCTGTGTCACCATAGCCAGGCCGGTCCCCAAGCACATCCGGGAAGCCTTGCAAAATGTACACGAAGAAGTAGCCCTAAGGTAGAGTGCCCCGCGCTGTCCCCAGGAAGACCCCAAACTGCAGTTTGCCCAAAAGATAGTGATGCAGGTCACTAGGGAATTAACCCGTAGCCACCAACCCATCCAGCTTGTCTTGACTATTGTAAAAATCCTAAATCTCAGCACCCATTATCTTACTGCTCTAAGAACCTCCCATGAATCTGGGCGCGCTAGTGAGCCTGTAGTCCCAGGTCCTCGCTATGGGGCAGAGGATCACGTGAGCCCAGAAGTTCCAGGCTGGAGTGTGCGATCCAGGATGTGAATAGCCACTGCACTCCATACCTACAGAACAGAAACCTTACATTTCTTCCTCAATAACTGGGCCTGAATTAGAAGCTCAGCTAATGCCTAAATGTATTTATTGAACACATTATTTTATTTTATTTACTTATTTTTTGAGATGAAGTCTCTATCACTTAGGCTGGAGTGCAGTGGCGCCATCTCAGCTCACTGCAACCTCTGCCTCCTAGGTTCAAGCGATTCTCCTGCCTCAGCCTCCTGAATAGCTGGGATTACAGGCACCTGCTACCAGGCCTGGCTGATTTTTTTGTGTGTTTTTAGTAGAGACAGAGTTTCACCATATTGGCCAGGCTGGTCTCGAACTCCTTGCCTCAAGTGATCTGCCTGCCTTGACCTCCCAAAGTGCTGGGATTACAGGCATGAGCCACCACGCCCAGCCTGATCACATTATTTTAGATGGCTTATGAAGTCTTAGTGCCTAGCATATGCTCAATGATACTGTGGTAAAGCAGATATAGTCCCAGCCTTCATGGACATCAGTTTAGTGGAGACTAAATATCAAAACAGAAGTATGAGTGAGTGGAAGGAAGAAAGGAAGGAAGGAAAGGAGGGAGGGAGGAAGGAAGGAAGAAGGGAAGTATGTATAAGATTTAGTGGTTTCATGTCTTCTAGTCTCCAGGGAAAAAATATGTGTTTTCCATTTCCCAGGTATTATGGCTGTGGTCTGGTGATCCCCGAGCATCTAGAAAACTGCTGGATTTTGGATCTGGGTAGTGGAAGTGGCAGAGATTGCTATGTACTTAGCCAGCTGGTTGGTGAAAATGGACATGTGACTGGAATAGACATGACTAAAGGCCAGGTGAGGCAATGACTTGGAAGACAAGGAGGAAAAGATTCTCAAAAGCATTCTTTGAGAAATGAAGTTGTTTTCTTCATGGCTCTTCAAGAATAATTTAAGAAAGCCTCTAGTTAGCAATGCTCATTTGTGCCACTAGTGCTTCCTGTCTTGGAAGCTGATAACTTAGACAATTAGAGGCTCTTCTGGGCAAACACAAGAGTTGGAGGTTTGCTCTGTTATGAATATCATGATGACAGAGTGGACTTTGATCTTTCCCTTCTTGCTGCCATCTATCCTGAAAGATTTTGTTATTGAATGAGGAGTTTATTCAAGCAAAACTGCATGGGCAGCAGGGACTTTGTGTCCCAGGCTGTAGTATAGCCTACATGTCCACAGGAATCTTGTATATTTATCCAAAATAATCTAGGAGAAGTATGTAATAAGAAAAGTTTTAGGAAAAATTTTTTTTTTTTCAAAATGTTGTCAAAACTATATTTTTCTTCCTTTAGGTGGAAGTGGCTGAAAAGTATCTTGACTATCACATGAAAAAATATGGCTTCCAGTCATCTAATGTGACTTTTATTCATGGCTACATCGAGAAGTTGGGACAGGCTGGAATCAAGAATGAGAGCTATGATATTGTTGTGTAGGTCTATATTCTTACTGTTATGAGTATAGCCCATTTTTTAATTTTTAATTTAAAAAATTTTTTTGAGATGAACTCTTGCTCTGTTGTCCAGGCTGGAGTGCAGTGGCCCAATCTCAGCTCACTGTAACCTCTGCCTCCCAAGTAGCTGGTATTACAGGCACATGATACCACATCCAGGTAATATTTTAAATCTTTTTTCTTTTTCTTTTTTTTTAAGTAGAGATAAGATTTCACCATGTTGGCTAGGATGGTCTCAAACTCCTGACGTCCGGTGATCCACCAACTTCGGCCTCCTAAAGTGCTGGGATTACAGGTGTGAACCACCACAGCCAGCCCTCATTTCCTTTTGAACACACAGATGTCACTACTACTGTTTGCTGAATTGACTTTCATTTAGTGTGTTAGACTAAGCTCATGGCTTACTAATGGGAGAGAGCTGGTTTGAGATGCTGGAGCCCACCAAACACAACAGACCAAGGGAGAACTTACTTGAAACTTAACCACAAACTAATGAACCCAAAAGACCAGCAGGACCACTAAGTTTACTCCTACAATACATGGTGCCCTGTTATCTTTCATAATACTTCCATGGCAAATGATAAGGATTCTGTTTCCTTTTTTCCCTCAAGTTGTTATTGTCAAATTGTGCCCAAGTGACAGCCTTAAGAAAGCTGCCTTTGAGGAATGCAGCCAGTTTACATGGGGCATCAGAAATGCCTTCTGCAGTAAGCATCTGGTCCGAGTTTTCATCTTGTTACATGGTGACCATCAGGACAGAAACAAATAAGAATCATGTCTGATTTTTTTTTTCTGCACATTCAGACTTGCCAAGAATTTATTGAGATTTTAAACACTCTGTCTGTGATCTTGGGGAAAAGGTTAGTTGACGGCATTAGGAAGAGAGGAGGGAGGCAGGGAGAATGGAGTAGCTTTGAACAGAACAGTGGGAGCCACCTTTAGGGTCTAAAAGGACTTGCAGATTTTTGAGTATTGTGAAGATTTGCTCGACATTTCATTTGTTCTCTTTTAGATCAAACTGTGTTATTAACCTTGTGCCTGAT